ACTTAACACTTTTTGATTAAATAGGGCTGACTGTTTTGGAAACACAACAGAAGCTGGAAGGCTAACTTTTATTATAACTCCCAAAGCAGTTCAAGCTCTCTAGACATGCTTGATTTTAAGGCACCACTTTTGTTTTACCTGAGGTAAGCAAGAGAAAAATGAAGGAGCTCTATGGGCATAATTTTATCCCAAATCACAGCATTTAAATCTCTGTTTCTAAATCCTGCATGACATCTCCATCAAAGCACGTTAGAATACGCAAAGTGCTGCTTGTCCCTTACAACTTTTCTCTCCTTGAGAATTTTTATTTTTAGCATTTGCTTTTAAAAGAATTAAATTTCAAGTGCTCATATGAGGGAGGGTCTGAAAAAGAATGCTGTGCATCAAAGGAAGTCTTTGTTGAAATCTTTTTGATAAAAACATCTTGGTCATCCTTCTTGAGTGATATAACAGTTACAATGGCAAATTGTATCTAAGTCCTGTTTGTGGATTTCCAAATGCCTGGCTAAAATACTGGATTACCTGGATCTTTGACCTGATCCAAGAGGCTTTATGACCCTCATCTATATGTAAATAAGTCAGTTAACCTCAACCGGATTATTTCAAAGTGAGCTCATAGGATCTATCTGCTGACAATGTCTTCCAATCCCAATTCTCCTATTCCTGCTTCTCTGACTTGAAATAACTGTATTTTTGACACAGGTATGCTTGTGAAATGTTATTATTTCCCTTCTAGGAAAAAAAAATAAAATTGAATGGAAGGATCTCTCATTTGTTTAAGGAAAGGCAGCAGCTGCCTGCTCTTCATACTTTGGGAAACATCTGTAGGATAGTCGTGGAATGCATAAAAAGGAAGTTAAATTAAAATCCCTACTAAGGAGCCTCAGAATACCAGAAAGATTAACAGGTTTATTTGATATGAACCAGAGTCCTCTTCATCAGTCAAATTCACAGAACAGTATTTTCAGCAAGTAAACACAAATGTAGCTGAGTTTGTGTTAAGAAATATAATCAAATGAACTAATTGACTATGAAAATGAAAGGGTTCCAGTCTACAAAGACTATTAGTAAATCACAAGTAGGTTTATCGGAAAGGAACAATGAATATTTGAAGTGTAATTCATTAGTGGTAACATATTAACTCAAGTTTTCTTCCATGCATTTACTGTAATTCCTGTAGTGAAAGAAAGCCATGTCTTGATTCTGCTCTAAACAAATGATATCATTACTTTCTGATAAATTCTAAATTGAGCAAAATGCTGGCAGAATGAATCTCTTTTGAAATTTCTTCCTCAAACTATGCCAATGTTCAACCCAACATTGATTTAATTTGCTTTTAATGATTTCTCAATAACTTTCCTTACTGGTGCCAAATTTGCATCAGTTTGTTCTTTTACGTAATAATGGAATTATCTGTTCTAAAAAAAATTTGAAAAATCAAAAGAACTCTTCAAGAACAGAACAACATACTATCACTGGAAAATGAATAAGAGATATGGAAACTCCTAAATTTGCCAGCCTGTATCATTGGGTCCTGCATTGTTTGCAGTTATGTTGGGACAAAGTTGATGTGTGTATTTGTAATCCAGGTGTCTTGGTTATGTGGCCTATTATTATATATGTGGCCTATTATTATAGTTGAACAACCATTCTATCTTTCAAGGTCTTACGGAATCTCATCAGTTGATTACGTTCTAATCCCATGTTCAGCTTCTCCCTACTCTACTCAAATGCTCTCAAGAGGCAAACCCTCAAATTCTCCTGAATCATAGCTACTTCTTCCACATTTCTGTCTCTATACATGGGAGAAAGAATAAAGTGAATGAATTGATTCTGCTGCAGGAAAGCAATTCAGGCAGGCCAAGACTGGGAGCAATTATTGGTGCGCTTTTGGAGGAAAAAGGGAAACGCTATCAGGTGCCACATGAGGTTATTCTGAATTTGTCCTATGTCCCTTCTCCAATATCACAAGAATCAGCAGGTAGGCAATAGGAAGACAAACCGTGTTAGGACAGATGGACCCATGATCTCACCTAAGATAAAGCAGCTTACGATAATGCTAAAGTCCTTGGCAATCTTTCCCACAATTAGCAGATCATATGATTTCTCCGTATTTAGATCATGTTGAAATGGAAATGTTGAACAGAAACACTGTCACTGTGGACAGAACCTTTCCACACCTTTTGCACTGGCTTATAATATGCTTTTACTACGCTTTCCAAAACTGTAATATTTTATATGGTATGCTAGTTTTTTACATCCTGCAAAGGTTAGCAGGTGAAGAGTAAGAAAAGAGAATATCAACTACTGTGTTCTTCTTGTCAGGAATGTGCAATAGATTACATGTAAACCTTTGTAGCAGGTTCCAAAATTCTACTCCCAAAAATTTGGGGGGGGGAGGAAGAGGGCAAAAAAGGACACTGATGCTGGAACCAAAGAAAGACTGGAAAATGTTCTTATGTTGCTTTTACTCTCTGGACAACTGCAGAGAATATGGTTTGGGATCAAGATTTCTGAGATGTTGGGAGCAAATTAAGGAATGAAACGGAAGGCTTGAAATTTGTAGATATTTAAGACATGAATTTAGTTCCTTAAGGCCCCCAAGCTAAGAAAAATGGGTCACTATTTTTGCAGCTCTGACTTAAAAGGCACAAATGATCTAAAAGGTAATGAACTGGGCACAAAGGTTAAATATGGAAACATACTATATTTGCAGAATTCCAGAGACAGAAGTCAAAACACACATATTATTTGAATGTCAATAGTAAAAGAAAGAAACAGATCAATACCTTAGACTGCGTATTAGACAGAACAACCTATTGGGTCCTTATATTAAAACTACATATTTCATGTGTGGTCAGAATTCAAAAATCACATATCGTACACGTCTTTATTTGAATAAATCAATTCACTGAGAGCTGCATATATGGGCCTGACTGGGATAAACTGCAGGGATGACACAGAAATACGATTTATATTCTTTATTTTTATTTAATCTGTTTCTTTTATTCCATTTTACATATGCTTTATTAACTTTCTATGTTTTATATTCTGAATTTTGATTCTGACCTAGTGGCTAGTCAATAATAAAATTTAATAAAGATATAGTAAAGATAATGGCTGGGATGAAGGTACAGGCTTATGTGTATGACGTTGATTGTCTGGGACTCTAAAAATGTGATCCTATTGGGAAATAAAGAAGTCATATTGATGGTTATCAAATGTCACAAATCAGTAAACTGGGTGAAAAAAAAGATATTAGTATGTAATTTCACCAGTAGCATGAAAGCATTGTTCCCAACTGAAGTGTATACTTCACGGAGTTTTCTCCTTCTCATCTTTGTGACCCCCAAAAGCATCATCTCATTACAACAAGCATGCCTTGGATTTTTTCCAGATATAAATGGTCAAAATTCCATTTGGAAATTACCCCTTTCTCTCTCCAATAAAACTCATAATGCTGCAAGCAATATTCATATCCTGTTTCAACAACAGGAGAAAAGCATCATATTTACACCCCAAAGAGCTACAGCTGAGAGTTTGGATGCTCCAGATCCACCCAGCACAGAAAACCGGTTATCCCTTTTTTATTCCCAACAAACCAAACCAGTAAAGAAAGCAGCTCTTGACAGTTTTCTTGTGAAGTCACTGCCACTGTTGTTTTAAACATTTAATTTAAAAAAAAATGACACCTTCACCAATGTGGGAAAGGTTCTGGTTCAGCTTTGTGGAGGTGCTGACTGGAATTAAAGAAATATCAAACAAAACAGAGTATTGTCTCCAGTTAAGTTTTCTTCTTTCCGCTCTATTATCCCCGCACTATTGCCTTTTTTCCATTTCTTAATCAAGTTCAACAAGATTACTGATTAAGTGACTGAAGCATCACATGTCAATGTTTTCAGGATCTATTCTCTCAACAAAAGTTGGGACATCTTGATCTCTCCCAAGAACTGCATATGTTCAACTTGCTTTCCAAAGGTTTTCTGGGATTGCTGCTTCGCAAAGCTGTTTCCCCCTAGAGTCCTGCTCCACGCTGAGGTTTTTGCACAGGAAGGAGTCAAAAGCCATAACAATAACAGCAAAACAGCTAGTCCCGGGATTTTTCTTTCCCACACTTTCAACAACTATTTCAACACAGAAGGGCTGATCAGCAAAGTAAAAGGAAATGCATTGAAATTCCATCCTCACCTCTGCCTTACTTTTAGCTTCGCCAAACCTTCCTTACAGCCCAGAACCATTTTATTGGCAATTTACAGGCACGTAACCAGCCTAATTCCAAGGCAGGTGGTGCCTTTCTCCCTACCTTGACCTCTGAAACCCTAGGACAGCTGGGAGGCAGAATTATGCATTCCAACTTTCACCCAGGGCAGGTCAGCACAGCAGCGCATTTTACATTGTCAAAACAACAAACGCCCTTATAAGATGTTCTTACGGTTTTCCCATGGCGGAGAAGAGCCCATCCCACTCACTACAACTGGGCTGGAAGTGCACTCCGTATTGCAACTTTCCCCCCACCTCTTGATGTTCTCCAAATGAGGACTGGGGGACGCATAGTCCAACCTGTCTGCACACACACACACACACACACACACACACACACACACACACACTCCAGCTTGGGGAAGGGGCGTCTTGACAGCCCAGTCCCTTTTAATTTCCAGTTAACTTTTTCAAAAAGAAAAAAAAGAGGGGCGGGGTGGAGTCCCGTGCGAATTCGTGAGCAGCAAATCCCACCCGGGAGAGAGGGAGACGGAGGGTGAACTCAGCCACTGAAACTTTTAAAGCCGCAAAGCCTCTTGCAACGAGCAAGCAGCGCAGAGGCTTCTGCGTCCATCGAAAAGTCCCTAAGAAGGCGAGAGCGGGGCGCGCGTCTCTTATTCGGGCACATCCCTCTGCGTCCCACCCCCCGATCCGCAAGTGTTGCACACAAAGGGAAGCGCCCCTTCCCCCCCAATCCTTCCCACCCGGCGAAGGCACACCAGGCTGCCGACGTCACTTACCAGCCGCGAGAGGCTCCGGGAGACGATCCGGTGCCGGGAACGCGCGTCGTAGTGGGAAGGCTCCCCGCGAGTCCACGGCGAGGCTCGCTGGAAGACGCGCACGAGTGGCGGGAGCGGAGGGGCCGGGGCGGCGGCAGGGACGGCGGCAACATCTCCTCGCGGCTGCTAGTCCGCCTGCTCCGACGCCCCCGACTCTTCTGCCCTCCCCTCGCCCGGCTTGGACGGAGCCGAGGCAGGAACCGCTCCCCCGCCCAGCCTCGCTCCCTCCTCCCTGCCTCCCTCCTTGCGAGCCGGGCTCCTTAAGCACAAGCAGGCGGGGCAGGGTCCGACGCGACCCTTTCTCCCGCCCCGCAGCCGGGACCGGACGCTCTTGAGCTGTCCGCCTGGCTGGCTGCGAACGCGGGGCCGCCCGTCTCTACCGCCGCTTCTGGAGGGCTGGGACCGGCGCAGCCACTCGCGCCTCCCTGGCAGCGGGGAAGCTGCTGACACAGGCTCGCCGGCAGCTCTTCTCTCGCCCGCCTGGCCCGCCCCGCGCTGGGGCCCTGGCAAGCCGAGTGGCTCTTGGGTTACTAAGCCAACCGCAAGGCCGGCCCTGCTGGTTGCTCTTGCTGCCGCGCCCTCGGCAGCCTTCGCCACTATTGCGAAGTCTTCTCTGCCTTTGGAGGGGGGAAGGAAAAAAAAAAAAGCGCCCCTCGGCTGAAAAAGCTCGGCCTCCTCAGCTTAACGCGCGAAGCTTGTTTAAGTCGACCGGATTCGACTTCAAAATTGGTATTTTAAGAAGGTGTTTGAGCCGGGGGGGTAGGAGAGTATTTAGCCCACCCCCGCAACCAAAAAAGGTCCAGCGGTTCAAAAGACATAACTCTGGAGCATATCGTCCAAAAAATAAGGCAGGAAAGGGAAAAAAAATATTCCGGCGGGAAGGAGATGAAAACAACCAGTTGCGTTCGGGGACAAAGTTCTTTAGAAGTTTTAAAAACTGCATGAGATTTAGTTCCAAGGAAACCTGCAAAAGATTGTGCTCCTTTTTTTTCCTATGGAGGGGATTACAGGGAGAAGAAAAGGAGCACGTTCTTTTTTTCGCTAAGCAACTTTACATAAACAAGGTCATTTTTTATAGCCACCTTTCTTGGTGGCTTTTTTCACTTATATTTCATAGAGCAAGTTTCACAATCTCAGCTTATTTTATTTTGCTTACGTTATCCTAAGAAGATAAAATGACGGTATTTATTTATTTTTATCCCAACTTTACTGTTCTTATAAATAACTTGTGGGAGGAAACCCACACAATACTCCTATTTTCCCCATAACAACAACAACAACCCTGTTAGGTGGGTTGGGCTGAGAGACAGTGACTGGCCAAAGTCACCCAGCTGGCTTTCATGTCAAAGGCAGGACTAGAACTCACAGTCTCCTGGTTTCTAAGCCAGCATCTTAATCACTATACCAAACTGGTGTATATGTCATGAGTTGATTGAAAGATGTGTGTGGAGGGGTGTGTTTTGTTTTTTCTTTCTTTTTTTTCTTTTAACTTTTAAAATTAAAAATGGCAAGCATTTAGCATGAAAGGGTCTGGTCTTGAAAAGATTGGAGCAAATTTAAATTACATCTTCTGGTTCATATATTACAGGGGTCTTCAAACTTGGCCCTTTTATGACTCGTGGACTTCAACTCCCAGAATTCCTCAACCAGCATGCCTGGCTGAGGAATTCTGGGAGTTGAAGTCCATGAGTCATAAAAGGGCCAAGTTTGAAGACCCCCTGATATATTACCTCAGGTTATCAAACTGCTGGCCTGTAGGCCGGTTGCATCATACAGAGGAGGCTGCACCCACAGAGCACCGGCAATGCAAAAAAAGGCACGATATGTCGTGACACATCACGTGAGGTGGCAAATTTGATGTATGATATCATGTATGTATTACATGATACCATAGGTCTTTGTTTTTAGCATTTCATTCTCCAAATGATTTAGCATTTTGCACAGAGCAAAACTGATTTTTTTTCAATGTTGTTTAACATTCTGGCATACTGTGCATGTGAACCACGCTAAACTGATTTATTTAAATATGGTTTGTTGACTAATTCACAATCAGATGGGTTCACAAACATTTTGAGTCTAGTTGGTTTTTCTGTTTTTTAATACCTACAGACCTTGAAAATATGTGGTAAAGGAGCAAATGATCATTCAAGGAGCAGCCATTAACTGCTCAGACTACAATATTTGCTAAACTCTACTAGCTGCTGGATACTTAAGCTCAGTCTTGCCAGTTTATGATGGGTGTTTGTGTGTCTAGGTGTCTGTTTATATCCAGATCATTCTAAAATCGTGGTATGGATCAAGAATGGATTTTGTCACCAGCTGGAAAATCACCTAGCATTGAGATTCCTAAGTATCCTCATTTGGTGGCCTGACAAAAGTCACTATTTGGAATTTATTGAATGCAGTTTCAGAATTCAGGAACACAGAAAACATCTAGAAATGGAACTTGAGGAAGGCGAAAAGGGAAATTGGGATGCTAAGTCATGTTGCTAAGCCATTGTTTAACCAAGCTGGATTGTACTTGACTTGGTTTATATACTATGCTGTTAATAAACTACAGTTTCTGGATTTGTAGAATTTAGTAGCTGAACCCTGAGCAAACTATACTAGTATGAATCAAATGATGTATGCAAGCTATCATAGGCAAATAATAATAATAATAATAATAATAATAATAATAATAATAATAATAATAATAATAATAATAATATAAAAGAGCCGAGGTGGTGCAGCAGTTAGAGTGCAGTACTGCAGGCCACTTTAGCTGACTGCGTTCAGCAGGTCAGTGGTTCAAATCTCACCGGCTCAAGGTTGACTCAGCCTTCCATCCTTCCGAGGTAGGTAAAATGAGGACCCAGATTGTTGGGGGCAATGTAAATATTTATACATTGCTTACTGGTGTACACCGCTTAGAGAGTGCTTGCACTTAAAGTGGTATATAAGTCTCATAAATGAAATAAATAAAATAATAATAATAATAATGTTGGAAGGGACCTTGGAGGTCATCGAGTCCAACCTCCTGCTCAGGCAGGAAACCCTACACCAGTGATGATGGTGAACTTTTTAGAGACCAAGTGCCCAAACTGCAACTTAAAACCCACTTATTTATCACCGGATGCCAGATGCGCGTGAGCGTGGCTGTGGTCATGGCAGACTGAGTGGGTCTGGCCAAGGTGGGCGTGATCACCTCAATGTTGCTCATGGGGAGGGACGCATGTGGGGGCCGGGCAGGGTTGGGGGAGATCCAGGGAGTCTCTGGCAGGTCGGACAGTGGGCAGGAGGTTCGTCCTGCAGGGTGAGGCGAGGTAGGGCGGGGGTACCACTGTTGCAGGGCAAGGCAAGGTGAGGCAGGGGCCGGGGCAGCTGCTGCCTGATACCATCGGCCCCCACACACAGAGGCCAGCGAGCGCATGGGTGCATCCGGCCACGTGGGACCTCAGCAAGTTAGCAAGCGGCTGGTTGAAGAGGGACAGTTGCCATCTCCGGGGCATTGTGCGCGTGCCCACAGAGGGCTCTGAGTGCCGCCTCTGACATGCATGCAATAGGTTCACCACCACTGCCCTACACCACTTTGGACAAATGGCTGCCCAGTCTCTTCTTAAAAACCTCCAGTGTTGGAGCATTCACCGCTTCTGGAGGCAGGCTGTTCCACTGGTTAATTGTTCTAACTGTCAGGAAGTTTCTCCTTAGTTCTAGGTTGCTTCTCTCCTTGACTAGTTTCCATCCGTTGCTTCTTGTCCTGCCTTCAGGCGCTTTGGAGAATAGCTTGACTCCCTCCTCTTTGTGGCAACCCCTGAGATATTGGATATTGCTATGTTGTTCTTTCCCTTGTACAAAAAATTGTTTATGCTTGTGCAAACCATATGGAGCATGAATTGCCTTGAAATCTTATCTCAAGACCAACCCATTTTTTTGCAAATACAGATATTTTCAATAAATTACTTTATAATATTTTATTGTGTTGTACATGAAGCATTGCTACATTTAAGAAGTTTTACTGATAATTCTCAAATTTATTATCATGCATTAAACTGAAGTCTGCTAAGCTATTGGTCATGAAGCAGTACCCTTAGTGAACTGAGAAAATATATCCTCTCCCTGGCATTGCCTCACTGAAGATCAGGAGAGAAGTAGGAGCAGATGTCGAGAGAACTGAGCAAGAGAATGATTCTCAACATCCTCTGAAGAAACATGTGCCTCAAGCCCACCAACTCAGATCTAGGAACAGTTTTATGGCAAGAACAAATATTCTTCAGGGTACACAAGAACAAAATCAAATTAGAAGCTGAAGAAAGGAGACCACCAAGCAAGGAATAACATTAAAGGAAGATATGGCTGAAAGATCTGACGTCCTTTATACTACCTGGAGGACCCTGAAGAGGCTGAGAGTTGGAGTGCCTAAATGTAAAACCAATATGCTTAAGTGAGGCGCTTAATGGATAACAATGTGCTATGTCAGGGCTTTTCAACCAGTGGTACGGGTACCACCTGTGGTACATTGGCACCTGGCAGGTGGTACGCGACCATCCTAGAAAAGTGGTAGTGGGGGAGGGGAATGAGGTGAACCGGTGGCAGCACCGCACAAGCCTGAGCAAGAGATGGCTGGAGCTGCAGGACTGTCAGGGCTTAGCGGAAGCTCCAGGATCAGCGCTTCTTCGGGGTTGTCAGGGCTCAGTGGAAGCGCCAGGATCAGTGCCAGGCTCCAGCTGGAGCTCAGCACTGATCCTGGTGCTTCTGCTGAGCCCAGAAGAAGGCCAATCAGCTGGAATGTTGCAGCATCTCCAGGGTCTTGTGATTTACATTCAGATACTTGGCAACTGATTCATATTTATGATGGTCACAGTGTCCCAGGGTCATGTGGAGTGACCAAAACCTGCTGCAACTACCCAGCAGATGGGGGGAATAAAAACCAAGCACCGCCCCACCCCACCCCCGCTGCCAATCCTCAACAGAAATGCTCACAACAATGAAAACCTCGGACAGGAGGAAGAGCGCCGCTGGGTGGGCAGGCAGGCGTCTTGTCACTAAGCAAACTGTTATAAGTCATGGACTACCTGTACGTTTATCACTTTTTTCCTTTTTTTGGGGGGGGGGTTATCAAGTTTTTGACACCTTGCTAGGCGACTGGTGGTACTCGGATACTGCCATATCTTAAAAGTAGTCAATGGGTGAAAAGGTTGAAAAGCCCTGCGCTATGTGACATGACTGCCATTGGTTTACATATTTACAATTGAAAGAACGATTTAAATCAGACAAAAAGAGTTATGGGTTTCACTTTGTCAAACATGAATTGGAAATCCTACTGTGTGGTAGTGATGAACATATTGCTAAGGTCTATAAATTGTTATTGAATTTGAATTTGGAAAATGAATATGTAAAGCCTTGCATGACTCAGTGGGCAAGGAACTTTGGGTATAATGTAATGCTTGAACAATAGAATATGTGGGTGAAAGGTTTAAAGTTTATACTAAATTGTAATTTAAAAGAAAATTTCTATAAGATGATGTATCATTGGTATTTAACACCAGGCAAGCTGTCAAGAATATGTAAAGGTATTTCAAATGAACGTTGGAAATGCAAATATAAAGAAGGGACTTTTTATCATTTATGGTGGACGTAAAAAAGCAAAGAAATATTGGAGTAGGATTCACATCTTAATACAGAAGATTCTTAAAATGAATATAAAGATAAAACCAGAAACTTTCCTTTTGGATTTAATGGAAAAAGACTTGGGGAAAAAAATTGCAACTTTGATGTTATATATATTGTTGGCAGCAAGACTACTTTATGAACAAAAATGGAAGGACACTTCGATTCCCA